AAAAAAAAAAAATCAAATATTTAATTTAAGTTCTCTCAAATATATTATAAATTCTTGAAAATTTAGTCTTACAGAAACACAGAAAATATATACTCAGTCTCATTTTAATTCCCATTCGCATTGACAAATATTGTCCAATTTTCCATTTCAAATTTATGAAAGATAAACTTTTGTAGTCATAATTCAAAGAAATTTTGTAGTAAGCTGAACAGCTTTAAACTATTTCAATGCAGAGCAGTCGAGAGATACGCTGCGAATTTATTTTTAGGTTGCGAAAATAATTTATAAAACTTACACAGGCATTAATTAAATCGTATAAAATACGCCGACTGCCCGGTTCCTGTGGCTTTGATCAGCCGTCAAGTGGTTTGATCGATTTCCAACAATAAAAATTCACCGACAACTTGTTCATAATGAAGATCTGTTGTTGCCTCCACCTCATTGGCGGTGTGGCTGTGGTTGATCTTGTTGTTTTGGTGCGCACGGCGCATCAATCACCCGAAAGCTGCGTAGCGATCTCTACGGAGATCGGAGATTGGGGTGAGGAGCGGGGAGTGGGGAACGGGGCTGGGGATTGATGTCGGCATGGTTGGGCGTTTCTGCGTTTCTGCTGCGGCCAATTGCCGGAATGCCACGATTGCCCACCCGTATACTTGTTTGATCCTTTTTTATTTTACGGAACAATCGAGCATTTTCACACCGTAATAAAAACCTCAAACATGTTTGTAAAGTTGTTAATGCTGCTGTGCTGCACCATGTGTAGGTGGGAGCAACGCATAAATTAACATTTTGACTGCCAACTGGCGCGGCAAATGATCAAAGACACTTCTGTGCCGTCATCGTTGCGTTGATCATCGTCATCGCCATCAGACGGGCAGGCAGGCCACTGGGCCAGACGCAGCAGGAGTCGGAGTCGGGGTCGCTGGCGGAGATGGAGGCAGAGATGGAGGCGGAGGCGGTGGTAGTGGCGGCATCGTGAACATCATTTCACGTTTACGATCCATC